CCTCAAATGAATACTTTCTAAAAAAATAAAACAATTTTCTAGTAACCATAGTTCTGCTATTTCTTCTAAAGAAACGGAGAAGGATTTCTCAACGTACCTGGAGGACGAAGAGCAGCTGGACCTGGTGGTGAAGTACTTACAGGGGGTCTACCAGGAGACGGGCAGCAGGACGCTGGCGCGGGTCAGCGGCGACCGGATCCGCTTCATCCTGGACGTTCTTCTGCCCGAAGTGAGTGGATGCCAGGGCCCTCGTGCACGCTGACGGGTGGGGGTCTGTGGCCACGGCCCAGGAACCGGGCCACCAGCCACGCGGGGCTGGGATTTGGTGCTGGGATGGCATTCTCCAGAAGTCTGCCCAGGAGGCCACGACAGCATGGAGCCTGGCGCCCACCCCAGGACGGTGTGTAGACTCCATGGCCAGTGCCAGGGGATGAGAGCCACATGTTTTATCCCCGTGTGCACGTGGACACGTTTCCGGAGTAGACGTTGCTTGTGGAAGGGAGCTGTAATTGTCCTGGACGCGCCCACTGGGGTTTGACTGGGCAAGAGCACTCACGTTTTGAAGGTCAGAGGGGGCTCTGCTGGGCACGTGTGAGCACGTGTAGGAAAAGTTGCCAAGCTCAAAGATTTTTAGCTTTATACCTGGAAGCTTTCAAATACATACGAAATGAAAGTAGCGTCAGGGAGCCTGTGTGCCCAACACCCAGTGGGAATAGTGACCTCATTCTGTTTGTATCTCTAGCTCCTTCCCCCCAGGTAACTATGGGGGGGTTCCCCAAACTTTTTTTTATGCTTAAGTACTCCAGTGTGTGTCTTTAAGGAAGGGGTGGTTCTGCCCCAGGGACACTGGTCCCCATGTGGAGACGGCTGTGGTTCTCATGGGGGGGTGGGTGTCAGGATGATGCTGGACCCCCACAGTGCCTGGATGCCTCCCCGAGAGTGACCTTCCCATTGTCAGCAGTGCCCAGGGGGGTTGGGGGTGCCCTGTTCTAGACCATAAAGGCTCTGTTTGATTCTTAAGATTTTATTTTTTGGGCGCCTGGGTGGCTCAGTTGGTTAAGCAACTGCCTTCGGCTCAGATCATGATCCTGGAGTCCCGGGATCGAGTCCCACATCGGGCTTCCTGCTCGGCAGGGAGTCTGCTTCTCCCTCTGATCCTCTTCCCTCTCATGCTCGCTCTCTCTCATTCTCTCTCTCTCAAATAAATAAATAAAATCTTTAAAAAAAAAAAAAGATTTTATTTTTAAGCAATCTGTATCCCCAGCGTGGGACCAAGAGTCACAAGCACTCCCAACTGAGCCGGCCACGCACCCCACACAGGCTCTTTAAAAACACTTTCCAGGGGCGCCCGGGCCACTGTCGGTGAAGCATCTGCCTTCGGCTCAGGTCATGATCCCGGGGTCCTGGGATCGAGCCCCACATCGGGCTCCCTGCTTGGCGGGGAGTCTGCTGCTTCCTCTCCCTCTGCCCTTCCTCCCCCTCAAATGAATACTTTCTAAAAAAATAAAACAATTTTCTAGTAACCATAGTTCTGCTATTTCTTCTAAAGAAACGGAGAAGGATTTCTCAACGTCAGACTTGCCGTGTGCTTGGATGATCGCTGTTATTTTTTCCTGTTGTTTGAAGAGTAAACTTACAAATTTTCACAAATGGGTTTGTTGGTTTTGGTCCTGCCTCATTCTCTGCCTTTAGTGACACGAACTCTCGTGTCTCATCCAAAAGACCGTGTCTTTCAGGTGATGCAGGAGTGTCACTGCAAAGATCTCCCGGATCCGTGCGTGTTTGTGGAGGCTGCTCGGAAGCTGCACCGGGCCCCACGCGCACCCCACCCGCTCCACGGGCGGCACGGGCCCGCTGCCCGCAGCTGAGCGCCCTCTGTCCTCTTGCAGGCCATCATCTGCGCGATCGCGGCAGTGGATGCTGTGGATTACAAGACGGCTGAGGAGAAGTACCTCAGAGGACCGTCCCTCAGCTACCGGTAGGCTGCTCAGGGCGCTGCTCCCCAACCAGCAGAAGTGTGTCTAGAAGGGCTCACGCTCCCTCGTGCTGGTGGCTGGGGCTCAAGGGCCCTCTTGCCGACACGCTGGTCCAGGTGCCCACCAGGTGAATGAAGTGCCTACGATTGGAAGTGCGGATTAGCCCTTGGCCAGGAGTTGTCAGAGGGACCCAGTGAAGCCAGCAGTGGACGTTGTCCTCGGGCACGTCCCTGAGCCGGTCTGAGCAGGCGGAGCTGGCCCCCAGCCCGGCCTGTGCCACAGCCCACAGGTAGTCCACCGGGGCCGCTCCCTAACTGCGTTTCGCATGGGCTCCTGTTTGCATTTCAAGCTTTCTCCCCTTGCCCCAGTGCAGTGGCCGTTTGAAAAAACACAGATTACACGGCAGCAGTCGCCTGGGCCTTTCCTAGCTGGTCAGAAGAATGCCGTGATCAAGATGTTTCTCTTCCGTTGGTGAGGTTAGCCGCCCTGGGATTTTTGGCCCCAGAGCCCCTAATCCCATCTCTGGGCTTGCTGCCAGGTTTGCTGGGAACAGGCTGGGCCCGCGTGGCAGTGACAGGCTGAAGACTCAACTAGAGTCACAGGCCAGGGTCTCTGTCCAGGGCTGCCCAGGCCCACTGTCACAGATGCCGGACAGCGAAGACGGCTCCCAGGAGGCCGCACTCCTTCCCCGGGGGTGCCCCGCGGCGTGCCGGGAGGCCAGGCCTCGGGGTGGGGCGGCCGGCTGCCAAGCTGGCCACAGAAGAGCCCGTCTGGCTCTGTGTGCAGGAGTGTTGGCCCAGATGGGTCAATAGAGCATGAGGGGCTTTGGCAGCAGGGAGACTTGGTGTTTCTGTCCCTGGATCTCGGTGGTCCAGTGCGGTGCCCTCGACACAAGTACAGAATGGTGTTGGGGGAGCAGGGTCGGAGCCGGTACCTGTCTCCCCACCAGCGATTTCCTCCTCCACGTCCGAGGTGCTGGCCTGTGCCTGTGAGAACAATTGTCTGTCTTCACGCACTGCCGCTGCTCTTGACCAGCCGTGGACGCGTCGGGTGCCCTGTGGGCATGATGGCTGTGCCGATGATGGCACGGGCCACCTGCTCTGGACTCCAGGGACCTGGCCTCTAACTGAGTGCCGGCCGGCCGGCCCCTGCCCTCAGCTTGTGGTGACGTGTTGGGGGTACCCGCCGAGCGGCCTCGTGTTCGCCTGAGCCACCTGCTGACCCAGTCTGTGTTCTTTGTTACTGTTGTCAACCCTGGGGAGGGGGGTGCCCCAAACACCCATTAATGTAATTCTTATCGTCAAGGAGTTGCTTAATGAGGACGATTTGAAAGTTCACACTCCTTAAAAAGTCGTTTATTTTTTTTTATAAATTGTGGTAAAATGCACATGATGTAAAATGTCCTGTTGTAACCGTCTCTAAGTGCACAGCTCAGTGGCCTGAGGCACACTCGCCTGGCCCTGCGGCCACCCCCACCCTCCGTCTCCAGAACGTCCCATCTCCCCACACGGAGACTCTGTCCCCACGAAGCATGGACTTGTCTGTTCCATATTCTAAGACAAGATGAATTACTAAATGAGGTTCTCTCCTTTTGTTTTCTGAAGGGAAAAAGAAATATTTGATAACCAGCTCCTAGAAGAGAGGAGTCAGCGGTGCTGATGCTGGAGGGGCCGCCGCGGGTCCCGTGGCTGGGGCGAGTGCAGTCTGCAGGACGGGGGCCCGGAATGTGCTCCTTCTCATCTGGGGGCGCTCCTTTCCTGGCTTTTGTGGAAGGTAGAGTTCCTGATTTTGAAACAAAAATGTGTTTTATTTTATTGCATATCATTACTTGTGACTGTATTGTTTAATAAAAGGTGCACATTTGTTTTTTTATGTTAAAAAGCATTGTATCCAATATTAAACAGGAGTTTTAAGAAAGCCTCTGTGAATGCGTGCCCCCAGAACACGCGTGTGTTTCCGTGATTCCCTCCTCTTGAGGCCACGGGGCCGCACTCTTGTCTCCTCGCGTTTCAGCTCTGCTCTCCTTCCCTGTGCCGGAGAACACGTGCGGCGGGGCCCTCCAGCGACCGCTTCCCACCCACCCCCTGGTCCCGTGTGGTTGTTCACGTGTGGCCGCATCTGGCCCAGTGCTGAGCGCGGTCTCCCCGGAGGGCGGGACCCCCCACCCGTAGCCGCCTCAGTCACTGTGTGTGCAGCCGTGGGGTCGCAGTGTGGGGACCGGCTCCTGCAGGAGCAAGGCCTTTGCCTGGAGGCCAGGCTCACGTTCCTGCCCAGGCCCAGAAAAGGAGGCAGCTGGTGGGTCACCCTGGTGCCGGAGGGTTCCCAGCGTGAGCCCTGGCCTTTGGAGACCTGCCGTGGCCTGTCCTGACCCAGTCACAGAAATTCTGTGGCCTGTCAAAGCCATGCTCAAATGAACTCTTTAGCCTAAGCTGCTGGGAGACTGCGCGGTGTGGGTACATGGTCAGGAGGTTCAGCTCGAGGCCCTGGCCGGGGTCAGCAACCCCTATGGTGGGGGCTTAGACGGAGAGCCTGTTGGGAGGCGGGCGGGCTTGGGCCCTGAGAAGGGGCTGTCTGAGCAGGCAGAGGCCCCGGGCCATACACAAAACCACGGGTCAGTTGTGCAGCGGGAGAGGTTGGGAGATGGCCCCAGAATCCTCCTGGTGGAGGCGGGGCGGGGGGGACGAGCCTGGCCTGGGACAGCGGGGCTGGGACCACAGAGGGTCTATGGTTCCCAACCACCATGGAGCCTGAAGCCAGGCCGCTTGGTCGCTTCCTCCACAGAGAACAGCCCGACATTGTCTCCAAAGCAGGCCGTGCCCCTTTCTGGGAGAGCCTGATGGCTCCGTCCACCACTGGACGAGCTCGATGCGGTGGCTGAGGTGGGCCGCCGGCAGTCAGCCTGTCCAGGCCCGCGTTAAATGCCCACCGGAGCCCCACCTGCAACCCGGGCCTGCGCCCTGTTGGGGGGATCCTGAGGGTGCTCGTCCTAAGGCCGCCGGGCAGGTGTGAGGGGCGCGGGGCCCGGCAGCTGGCGGCCCCATGGGGGCCCCCGGAGAAGCACGCACAGCACGAGCTTCTGAGACACAGACTGCCCCCAGCACGGCGTCCTGTTCTCCACCGCGAGGCTTTTGTCAGCCCACCCCTCACCCCTGCTCCTACTCCAGTCTCCCCCTCGGCGCTGCAGACATCAGACCGGGTCATTCTCCGACGGCTGTCCTGGGTGCTGCAGGGGGTCGGGCAGCATCCTGCACCCCACCCCTCAATGCCAGGAGCCCCCCCAAATCCATGACCATCTTGCCTCCTTCCCCTGCCCCACCTCTGCCCCTTCCCTCTGGGCTCTAGCTCGCTGGCCTCTGTGTGGCCTCCCTGCTGCCCCCTTGACCCCCTGCCCTCCCCTCCTCCCACCGCCCCCAGCCCACACCCCTTCTCTGAACTGCTGCCCATCCAGACCCCAAGGCCCTGCAGAAGCTCCTCGTCAAGTTGGTTTGCTTTTCTCACTCCAGCCTGACGACGCAAAGGAAGGATCCCACCCCTTGTACCTGTGGTCACCACACACCAGCATCCCCGCTGTCTGAGAGGGGGATTGTCATTGCACACGCCTTGGCCCCTCTTCAAGCCCTACTGCTTATCTAAAAAACTGACTTTAAAAAAGTCACAGGGCAGGGGCAGTGGGGGGGTAGGGGTGGTGCCTGGCTGGCTCAGTTGGTGAAGCGTTTGACTCTTGATCTTGGGGTTGTAAGAGCCCCGTGTTGGACATAGAATTGTTTTAAAAATAAAATCGAGGGGTGCTTGGGTGGCTCAGTGAAGCATCTGCCTCTGGCTTTGGTCGTGATCCCGGGGTCCTGGGATTGAGCCTCCAGTTGGGCTGCTTGTGCTCACTTGATCTCTGCCAAATAAAATCTTTAAAAAATAAAATCTTTAAAGAAAAAACAATTCACAGGATATGTGGGTGACTCGGTTGGGCGTCTGACTTTGGCTCAGGTCATGATCTCGGGGTCCTGGGATGGAGTCCCCAGTGGGGCCCCTGCTCCATGGGGAGTCTGCTTCTCCCTCTGCACCACCCCCATGCCCGCACACGTGTGCTCGCTCTCTCAAATAAACAAAATCGTTTTAAAAAAAAAAAAAGTAATTCACTATACGGTAAGAATCTGAAACCTCAGGGAAGCACACTTGCACAAGAAATAGTCCATCCCCTCCCACCCCCAGTTCCTGAATCACGGCCCCCACTGGCCTGGTGCCCGCGCCCGGGGCCTGGTGCATGTTGACCGGGCCCATTGGCCCCTAGCAGCGTTCTCTCTTGTGACCTAGCAGCTGGAGAAGACGCTCTCTCGTGGTTCCGGTGGGATTGGAAATTCACTGAGCAGCTCGGCTGGGTGACTCAGGTCTCATGAGGTGCCAGTCGAATGTCACCAGGGCTGCGTCATCTGAAAGTTCAGCTGGGGCTGGGGTCTCAGTCCCCAGGGTCCCTCACTCACAGGGCAAGGACGTTATGGGCGAACAGAAAACTTGCATAAAGCTCAGACTTCAGTAACATCCACTTTGGTTCATGAATTGCAACAAATGTGTCCGGCAGTGTAAGCTGCTAACAGTAGGGGAACTGGGTGCTGGGCACACAGGAACTCTATCTACTATGTCGGCAACTTTTCTGTGAAAATGCAAAGTTTAGTTAAGTAAGTTACAAAATCCAGCTCCACAGGCTAGTGGGGAGCGGGAAGGAAAGGGGAAGGGGCCCCTCACCTCCCACCCGGGACCTGGAGCTCCCCGGGACCTGGAGCTCCCCGGGAGCGAGACCAGGTGGGCTGTGCAGGGGTTCGGGGGCCGGAGTGGTCCTGCCCGGAGGCCGGCCTGCCGCTCGCCTGCGCTTGCCTGTGTGAGCCTCAGTTTCCCCCAAGTGTAAAATCCAGCAGGATTGCCAGAATTAGGGGGCATACAAAAGGCAGGTGTTCTTGCGAACGCTTAACAATTAGCGCTTGTTCTAATCCTACCGCGTAAGAAGTATTGGGAATCGGGCTGGAGTCCACGTTTGGGCCGGAATCATGGTCTGGGGGTGGAGACAGGGGTTTGAGGGCTCCGTTCCTCCCCCACGGGGGCCTGAGTCAGCGGCCCCGCCCCTCGTCTGAGGAGTGGGTGGCATGCTGGGGAAGGAAAAGCTGGGAGCCGGAGCGCCAAAACAGCTGCCGAAACCCGGGATCGAACCAGGGACCTTTAGATCTTCAGTCTAACGCTCTCCCAACTGAGCTATTTCGGCTGGGCGGAAGGGGGCTGCCGTTGCCCCGAGTCCGGCTCGGGCCGCTCCGCCCGAGCGCCGCCGCAGCTTGCGCCTGGCCTCTCGGCTGCGCACGCCTCATAGAAGCTCAGGGGGCGGGGGGCGGCAGCGCCGTCTCTGTGGCGCAATCGGTTAGCGCGTTCGGCTGTTAACCGAAAGGTTGGTGGTTCGAGCCCACCCAGGGACGCTGTTTTGAACTTTTCTTCCTGAGGTAAGGAGTGGGCGCGACGACGCCCCTGCTTTATGCCGGGACGCTCCGCGCGCACCCCCAGGCCAGCCCGTTCCGGGGAGGGGGTGTCCGGGGGCGCGCGGCAGCGGGCAGTCCACAGAGGCGGAACGTCGCAGGGCCGGGTCCGGGTTCCGCGCAGCAGCCGAGCCGCTTTGGGAGCCGGGCGTGGAGACCCGGAGCGCTGAAGCGGACGGACCGCAGAGGTTGTTTGAAGGCCGAGGCGGACATGGCGGCACCGGCGGGTGAGCGGGGCGGCCGCGGCGGGGCGGGGGCGGCCGCGGCGGGGAAACTGAGGCCTCCGGGGCTCCCAGCGCGGTGTGCGGCGGAGACCTGCCGTCCGCAGATGCGCGGTAAACGCACAGAGTACGAGGGCTGGGGGTGCGGGGGCAGACCGCCGTCGGGGTCCGGGGCGGCGAGATCCAGCGGCTCGTCCGAGGGGAAGGGCGCTGACTGTGCTGCAAGCGCATCCCCAGACCTGGATTTCCGCCCGAGGCACCGGGAGGGACGGGCGGCGCGCACCGGAGCGGGGCCCAGCCGGGAACTTGGTTGTCAACGCCAGCCCAGGGCCGGGAGCCCGTCAGGCACAGCAGACGACCCCGGGGGCCCCAGCGAGGCCCTAGCATCTTGGGAGAGACAGGCACCACACAGCACAGAGATGGAGGTGCAACAGGGTGACCGCATCCAGAGAGCCCGGGGGGATGGGTGGTACTGACCGAAACCCGCCCGTAAGAAGGGCTGGCATGTGCCCGCGTGCGGCAGGGTGCTCCAGGCAGCGGGGACTGCAAGTGCAAAGGCCCTGAGGCAGGAGCGACCCTGACATGCAGGAGGAAAGGGAGGATGGCCCGGGTGTGGTGTGGCCTTTTTTTCAGGGTGTGGGATATTAAGCAGGGTAGGGACACTGTGTGGGGCACATCCTGAAAGACCCCTTTTTACCAGGTTAAGTGGAATTTAGATAGACCAAGGGTAAGCGGAAGGACGTGCCAGGCGTAGGGCTCATGGGCAAACTCCGGGAGGCTGGGCCCCACCAGGGTTTGTCGCCTGCAACTCACTGCCTGCACCGTGTGGTTCTCTCAGCAGCTCCGGGCCTGCTCTTCCGGATACTTGCTCTGCGGTGAGTGTCTGCATCTCCCCCACCACACGGCCCTGCCGGGGAGGGCTCGGTGA